TCTCTATTTACTATCATTCGAGAAGATCGCACCAGTCGGCTTGACTTTGCCAACGGAACATCGGAACATGCAACGATGTGTGGTTCTGTCTTGCTAAGCATTGTAAGCCAAACAACTGGTGAACAAGAAGAACGCCTCCTTGAGGACGTGGTCTACACTCCTAATGCAAAGGTGAACATTATCAGCCTCGGTCACTTGCAGACGGCTGGGAAGTACAAGCTGCTGGGCTCAGATGATCAGCAGTCGGCTTGGCTCTCAAAGCCAGGTACTTCGTTGAAGTTTATCATGCGAGACAATATCTACCGATTGAAGGGAGAGCGAGTGTCAGGAGTGATGGTGATGGCAGCACGCAAACAAGACATGGACAGCAGAAAGACGATGGAGTTACTGCACCAACGGTTCGCTCACATGAGTATGGACACTGTGAGAGAGCTGTCGAGTAAGCTCGATGTCGGAGTAAAGATTAATGCACAAGGTCTGAGCTCCTACGAGTGTGTTGCGTGTGCTGCTAGCAAGACGGTTCAGACTTCCTGAACGGAAGTCTGAACCGCTCGAGATGTTGATGATGGACATATGCACGATGAATGAACCGACGGAAGGTGGTGCAACTATGTTCCTGCTAATCATTGATGAAGCTACTCGCTTCAAGTGGGCGTATCTACTCGAACGAAAGAGTGCGGCTACACTGTACGTCAAGATTTTGCTACATCAACTTCGGACTCAGTTTCCCAAGCTCACTGTTCGGAGACTGCACTCTGATCAGGGTGGTGAATTCACCAGTAATGCGCTGAGAGATTACTGCAATGAGCATGGTATTGTGCAGCAGTTCACGAATGCTTACTCTCCTCAGGAGAATGGTGTGGTGGAGCGAGCGAATGGCACTGTACTGCCTCGCATCCGTGCTGTGCTAACCGCTACACATCTTCCTAACATGCTATGGGGAGAAGCACTTCTACACATTGTTACGACACTGAATTGGCTACCAACTAAACCGCTAGGACTGGTCTCGCCATACAAGAAGCTGTACAGTGTGACACCCGATGTGGATGAGCTTCGGACTTGGGGATGTGTGGCACACGTGCGTGTCCCTCCTGAGTCCAGACAAAAGAAGGAAAAATTGGAGCCGAGATAACGAATATCTCTATTACTTGGTTATAGTCATGATACCAAGGGCTACAAATTTCTGGATTTGAAGACAGCTCAAGTCGTGACTGCACGTGGACGAAACACGCGATTTCACGAGGAGTTTACAAGTGACGGCACTTACGTAAAGCAACTCCTAGAGAACGCATATCACGATGGTGATCATCAGCTGCCCGATAGTGTTCCGGTGGCACGCATCAAGACTAGTATGGAGACGTACCTGCCTGGTTGGAGCTCTGAGTCTTCGAATGTGACGAAGCAGCTCGAGATGGTGCCAATAGCTGATGACCTGCAGGACAAAGAGCATGAGTCCAGTGGGAGTGCGAAAGACGACTTACCTGACGAACAAAGAGTAGAGTCGCCAGCCGGTGTAGATGCACCAGTTGAAGTTGCTGCGAACGATGAGACGAAGGAGCCACCTGCGGCACCCAAGTCTGGCAAACGACGAAAACGAAAGACGCGAAAGAAACTTGAACCAGAAAAGAAGGAGACGAAAACTTCTGAGATTTGCGATCCAACTGTTCAACCCTGTCTCAAGCGACCTCGAAGGACGCAGAAGCCAAGCGTGCGGCTTCTTGACTATGTGGTGGGCAACGTGATGTCTATCAATATGGACATTGAGATACCGACGACCTACAAGCAGGCACGTCGGAGCAAGCATTGGCTTCAGTGGAAGGCTGCTATGCTTGCTGAACTACAGTCACTGAAACGACACAAGACATGGAAATTGGTGCCACGCGCGGCAGCCAAAGGCGTCAAGGTTATTACGTGCAGATGGGTGTTCGCTGTTAAGCGTGACGAACGAGGGCGTGTGAAAAGATTTAAAGCTCGTCTCGTGATTCATGGCTTCAAACAACAACTGGGCGTGAACTACAGTGAGACCTACGCACCGGTAATCCGGTTTGAGACGATCCGTGTTGCCATCTACTTCGCCGTTCAACGAGGATGGGAAGTTCTTCAGTACGATGTAAAGACCGCGTTTCTTTACGGGGACCTCGATGAGTTAATCTTCATGGAGCAACCACCAGGCTTTCAAACAGATGGGCCAGCGTTTGTCTGTAAGCTCTTGAAGAGCCTCTATGGACTTAAACAAGCACCGAACGTATGGAACCGAGCTCTACATGCCAAGTTGCTGACACTTGGGCTTGAAAGACTGGAGTCGGACTACGGCTTGTACGCGCTGAAGAAGGATGGAGAAGTGACTATGCTCCTAACTGTATACGTGGACGACCTATTACTAATGGGTCCACGTGAGCTGTGTGCTCGAATTGCAGCCGCGCTGCAAGAAACGTTTGAGCTCACGACCATGGGAACCGTGAAGTACTTACTAGGTGTGGAGATCTTGATCAACCGACCCAGTCGACAGATTATCTACTGCCAGAAACAGTATGTACTCGAAGTACTCAAACGATTTCACATGGAGACGTGCAATGGGTGTACTACGCCTGAGGCTTTGACACCCTCAAATGCGGTTGCTCCTGCTACGACCGAGTACCTGCCCTATCGAGAGCTGGTTGGTGCGCTTCAGTATCTTGTAAGTGTCTCAAGACCTGACATCGTACACGCAACCAGACATCTCGGGAAATACCTAGCCAGCTACGGCCATACTCACTATGCGCAAGCCAAGCGGGTATTGCGCTACCTGCAGGCTACACGTGACTTTGGCCTGGTGATGGATGTTGCGTCAGCGTGTGACCTACGTGTGGGTTGCTATTCGGATGCTGACTATGCTAATGATCCAGTTAACCGCCGCAGCATCAGTGGATACGTGACGACAATGGACAACAATGTTGTCTCCTATGCATCGAGGAAACAAGAAATCAATGCTCAGAGCACATGTGAAGCTGAGTACGTTGCAATGGCTGGAGCTACAAAGGACTTGCTGTGGCTTGCAGGGCTCTGCCGAGAACTAGTGTGGAAACATGCACTACCTGTACTACTCGGAGATAATCAGGGAGCCATCTCTCTAACGACTAAACCCGGCAAGCACAGCAAGCAAAAACACATTGACAACAAATACCACATGGTGCGGCGGAACGTGGAACTAAAACGGATCATTACACAACACATCGGGACGGAGGACATGGTGGCGGACATCATGACCAAACCACTTGCGGTGGTCAAGTTCTCTCGATTTCGAAAGATGCTGAAGGTACTGCCTATCGTGGCAGACAGTGACATGGCCGCCACTGTAAATGAAAAGGTTACATCTGCGTCAACTGCGATGCATGATACCTTGACTGCGTCACCTGCGATGCGGTCAAGAACGACGGATTAGACATTACTGACGACGATGACATGTAGTGTGCCTGTGTGCCGACTGGAAGAACCAGTTTCGTGTGGCTGTACCACAACACTAGCATGCAATCAACTGCGCTGGACTACGGACATGTGCGATTCGAGTGGGAGACTATGCAGCTAGCAAATTACGGTGGTGGTGGCTATCGTACGACTATTCTCAGTGGTGTGTGTACGGATGAAGCGATGTGATCGCGTCGATTCGGCACTGCATCGCCGAGATCAAGTGGGAGTGTGAGATGCTATCCTGCTACTGTGAGATGCTACTTGCTACGGTCTGCCAGTGTCCAGTGCCAGACGTCATTGCCACAGCCCAAGACACTGGCAATACCAGTACTACCGATCCAACCTACAATCCTACGCGTGTCTATGCATGTACTGCATCCCGGCGTACCGGTCTGCAACGCGCTCACGTGCGAGCGGCGTGCGGAAGATACCAAGGACTGTATGAAGGACGACATTGGTGGCGGTGAGCAACTGCAACTGCGTTGCAGGTGATGGTGAACTACTTAGCTTTCTATAGACTATCTTAGACTGAGTATGTGCTAATCTAACTTTGCGGAACATGGAGGTTCAGGTGCTGGCAGCTCTCACTCTCACAACTGCTTTTGCTGTGCTGCGTGCACAACGAGTGAGAGGCAGCAAGCACCAGAACTCCGTGGTCCTGTCGTGGTACTTTGCCCGGCACTCACGTGTCTTACATTCTATTCCTACTTGCTCTACACCTACTGCCCTACAAGTCTGTGCTTATGGCACCTACGTTACGTAGTGATAGAATATCGGAGAGCCCGGTGACGCGCCATGCGTCATCTCATGTCGTGGCAGTGATCGGCTGCGGTGGCTAATGCTTCATATTATATTATAAGAGATAGCTTAGTCCGGGTATGACGAAGTCAATAGTTGGCGAAGGTGTTACCATAGTAGCGTTCGGAAGTGAGCTCAGTACTGAAAAGGGTGCTGTATGAAACGTTGAATTTTGTGTTAAATTCGGTTTTATTTTCGAAAGTTATCCATTCCCCATACGAAAGTTATCCATTCCCCATAACTACCTTTAAAATACACATATTGTCAATTATTTTAGAGATTAATAATTGACGATAGCCCCTGCTGGCGCGCGTTGAAGTATCGAATAACAAGTGATGGTCATTCGAAATGGCTGACCATTTTCGAAATCGTTTGCTCAATTCTGCCTTATATACCTTAACTTCAAAATTAGAATCATGGTCCCAGTACTTTTCACCTTTTTTAGTCCAGCCTTTTCAACCATTTTTAAAGTTTCAGCAGTCCCAAGACCCTGTAATACTTCTCTCTTTAATGAAGTAGGCTGTAAGGACACCATAAGGCAATAAATCTGTAGCCTTGGCAACGACACGTACGTATTAGGCTTAAAAGCCTTGCAGCAATCCAGAAGACCACCTTCTTATTAAGAAGTTTTCAAGCGCCCCGTGTACCCATCGCTGGAGGCCAGCAAACCATAAATCAGCAAGATCTTCTCTCAACATTTTTGTGTCATTCCCACATTCACCCTGCCAGATGCACGCGACAAGTCTCCATCCGCAATGTCGACCGAAGGATTCCCCATCGACGGACTGAAGGGTAGCCCCCTCAGTGCCAAGACACTCGCAGACATGAGATCCCGCTGTCGCCGCATGCCTGAGAACGAGCTTCTGTGTCGCCAGGTGTTGGAACGTCTCCAACTCCTACACGACTTTGTGACATCTTTGGGCTTCAAGGACCCATCCAAAGTAAAGTATATGGACATCGTCGTGCGGTTCGTCAAGCTCATGCGCCGCAAGCCGCTGCTGCTGCGTCTGGCGAGCAGCGAGACGCTGGCTATCACCATCCGTGAGCTGCACCTCAAGCTCAGCGACGTAGGTCAAGCCCTAGGCGTGGCGGACAAGCCTGAAAGGACGAAGTGGGAGACCCAGTGGGACAGCGACCGTGACGAACAATACGGCAAACTCAGTCAGTTGGTGTCCGGCGCCTCGGAACGGATGCTCGTGAACGAGTTCCGGGGCGACAAGAAGGTGAAAGAGGTGCTTATGAGTCTTAACAGTGGCATGAAGTGGAAGGGCCAATCGACCGAGATGTTTGAGCTTAAGCAAACTACTTTCAGTCGTGTGTCGACGTACTTAAACCAAAAGGGGCTGCGAATGTTCGATTGGTTTATCCCGATCGACGATGTCGAGTACGAAGACGAAGCGATAGGAGACCGAGGAACATTCGGAGACGCGAGTAGAGGCACGTGGGTGCATGATGGAAAACGAACGGAAGTGGTGGTTAAAAGACTGCTCCCTGAGACGTCCGGTGACTCGGACAACGCATTCCTCCGTCAGCTAGAGCTGTGGGGAAATCTTCCGGATAACGAGCATATTTTGAAACTCTACGGCGGGTCACATGTTAGTAACCCGCAGTTTTATGTGTGCGAGAACGCACACTATGGCAACCTCGCAGACTTTCTGAAGGACAAAGAGCACAGTTTCCTGTTTTGGCGGCTTTTTAAGCAAGTCACTCTTGGTCTCAAGTTTCTACACGACAGGAAAACCGTTCATGGAGGACTAAGGTGCAGCAATATCCTGGTCGGAGCGAACTTCACTGCAAAACTCGCTGACTTTGGCTTCAGTACGGTTCGCACTCTGTCGGCGGGTTTGAGTGGGAATGCGGACAAGGCGAATGCCAAGTCGGTACGCTGGAAACCGAAGGAAGTGCTGGAGGAGACCGGTATGGATGAGCCACGCTTTAAGTCCGATATCTACTCACTCGCCATGTGCATGATCGAAGCAAAGAACCAAGAAGCTCCATTTGGGTTGATGGACGACTCGGAGGTGATGTGAAAGGCGAGAGACACCCTTGTCCTCATGGTCTATCCGAAACAAGTACGGACTGGGCGTTTATTAGCCAACTTTGTGACCCAGACATTGAAAAGCGACCGTCGCTGGACGAAGTGCTCGTGGAGATTTATGTTTGCTGAAGCAGAGGAGAAGCAGCACCCCATAGCAAACGTGGCTTAGAAATGAACAAATCATTTGTTTTTTTACGAAAATTTGTATTTGATCAGAAACAAGCGGAGCGCGATAGAATACAAGTAAAGCACAGTGACCAAATAAACTAGCAGACCAAATAAACTAGCCGATCCGTCTACGTCATGTCGACAGAAACTTGGTTTTTCTTGCAAAATAGGTTTTAGCTTTACTACTGTACTGTAGATGAGCTGCTTGCTTGTCTATTTTAGAAAAGCGCCATTCATCTGTGTTGCTTTTAAAAAACGTTTTTTAGAATGGACACCTGCCAATTATAGATTAAACGGGTGATTTACATGTATCTGCAGCAGATATGTGACGGGGTCACACAGCACCTTGCGCTAGAGGAAGTTATCTTCCGAGAGTTTACAAACTCTCTGTGAATGGCAGTTCACAGGTCCCTTCTTTATTTAAAGAGAGTGAAGTGACCTAAATAAGGTAGATTGTAAACTGAGTATATTTATAGGTGGGTTAAGTTTGGGTTTAATACAAACTATAAGTTACCTATATAAATGCAATGTCGTTTGACCAATGGTTGGCTTTGAACGACCTTGGTACCTTGTACCAAATATCCCGGAGTATGACGTGTCATACTCCTGAAGTGTGAAGTGTCACACTTCATGTAACCAGGGTACACTTAGGGCTACGTACCCCGTTACATCCTCCCCCACTTAGGTTCGGTTTACCGACCAATCAGAGTGAAGAGGTGTTCGTCACAAACTCTCATTCTCAAAGTCGAAAACATCGACTTGGCCGCGCGAGCGCGGCGGAGGCTCACTTCACAGTTAGAGCCTCGAGCAGCAACCTGTGCGCTCTTCGTCTAGGTCTCCAATTCGACCGTTATCATGCCTCGCGACACTACAAAGAGCGGTGCTAAGACACGCTCCAAGGCTGCTGCCGGTAAGGCGCAAGCCAAGAGCACTAAGCCTCACGGCAAAGACTCTGCACTCAAGGAGGCTACTCAGGTGGCCTCCGAGGCGATCGGTTCCTCGGGTGACGCGGCTGTGGACAAGCGCGCAAGCAAGCGCCGCAGTCTGTCGCCCTCATCTTCAGACAATCGTCCGAGCCCTCGGTTCGTAGAACGTGAGTTCAACTCGGGTAGTGAGGACGATGCCGAGTCCGAGAGCACTCATGATGCTCCTGCGGGCTCTGTGGGAGGGCACAGCCCAGTGCCCAGTAAGAACAAAGATGACAGCGTGCAGTCGCTCGCTAGTGATCAAGGTGATCACAGTCCCAGGACTTCTGTGCGCTCTGAGAGTCCGGCCGTCAAGATTAAGGGCGCTCCCAGAGCCGGTGGCGATGAGGAAGAGAATCCTCGCAAACGTCTCTCGCTTGCCGAGGGTCTTGCGCGTGCTAAGGCCTCTAAAGCCGAAGGCGCCAAGCCCTCAAAGAAGCGTACAGCTTCTAAGTCTCCACTCCGCGAGGAGAAGGAGACTCGACGCTCCTATCAGAGTATCTTTGACTCCTCGGATGAAGAGGAGGAGAAGAAGGAAGAAGAGGAAGAGGAGGGTGCTATTCGTTGAGCCCCCGGGAGGTCTCCCAATGACCTCGACCAGCAGCAGGACGGAGTTTTAAACTGCCCAGCGTGTGCGTGGGGGTTCGGTGGTGGTGTGGTGTAGCGGGATCAGCAAAATCTGCGAGATTGCCAGATCCAACTTACCAACTGCGCCCAGACACCGACTAACGGAGGGGGTCCCCCGATGATCCGTGTTCTGCTGAACTTTCCTCACCTTGTGTACCCGTCGGTAGGGCGGGATCTTGCTGTCTCGGTAACTTCCGAAGAGTTCAAGTGGTGGAGCTTGAGTGTCTTGGCGAGACGTGGGGATGGAGTGGAGCAGCAGTGGAAAATCTTCACTCTGCGTCCGTGGATTGTTCCGAATCCTAAGCGAATACTCGAGCTTATGGATCCGGGGCCTAGATCGTGGATCTGGCCGTAGGGTTGCCTGCGGGTGTGTTCCCTTGCCTTTGTAGTTCCTTTGCGTCGTACTTGCCGCCTCCTGTGACGGGATCTTGAGAGTTGAGAACCTCTAGGGTGTAACCGACCAAGTAGTAAATTCGGTTAACCTGTTGGATCTGCACGTGTATAGGAAAAGCTCACTAGGTTGTAGGATCTGGCCAATGTATTATCCAGTTATCGCTACCAACACTAGATTCGCAATTCCCAACCTTCTCCTAGCTCGTACGGCCAATGTAGTTCCGGTTCTTGAGGGCAGGAAGGCACTTGCGTGATACTGTGCAAATTGGGTTCTGTATTGATATTTAAGCCTATACCTGCCTGGAGTTTTACCTTCTATGTCTTTCCCTCGTTAAATCCCTTACCAGGCTCGGCTGCATGTCCCTTCTTCCCTTGACCCATCATCCCAGCTGTATTATCTTCAGATCCACCGGATCCATGGCGTAATCATTATGGTCACCCTATTATGGGTACACTCGTTCGGATCCAGGTCGCTTGGATCCACTTCACTGTAAGTGTACACTCGTCGTGGATCTGAGCTCTCCAATCATCCAACATCATCTCGCAACCGTCTGTGATCTCCATTGTCTCACGAAAGTTCGAGATCCACTGCATCCATCATCCCTATACCCTGGATCCAGGTCCCTCAAGGCGGGATCCTCCCTCCTTGGATCCGAACTCGGAAGTATGGGATCCGGGGTACCTCGCGGTGGATCTTGACTCCTCATTAGCCGTGGCTACTAGATCCACCTTCAGAGGGCACCTACCATCCTCCCTTCATAGGATTCACACCCGATCCACTCTTGTATAGTATATCCCATATCCATTTAAGTGAATCCAGGTAAGGGTGGATCCGAGGTAAGTCTTGGTGGATCTTGCCTTCTCGTACATCGCTCATACCAGATCCATCGTCATTTCATACGGGGTGCTGCTCGTCATGGCTAATCCACCACCGGCAACTTGCATCCGTGCCACCAACCCAAATCCTCTCTAATCACTTGAAATTGTCACTGATTCGGGATAGTGACCCCGTGTCAGGCCCATTCTCTTATTTCTGAGAAAGCACTTCACCACAATCGCCTCCTGTACGTTGTCGGCGCTGCACAACAGCGTTCACGGCGTGCATTACCAGCATCCACAACCGCTTTCTCCCCTTCGCGACACATGTCTCTCGCCAAGCGTACCGGCAAATCGTCGGGCAAGGCCCCATCCACCACCCCTCCGGTCAGTCCGTCTTCAATGTCGCCCACCGATCTGCGGGTTCTAGCCCAGGCTCTTTCCGATCAGGTGCAAACCTTGACGGCGGAGCTCCAGACGGCTCAAGATGCCCAAGACCAAGCTGCGTCTCTGCACACTACCCAACTTCAGACTTTGCGAGCCCAAGTCCATGACCAGGCTATGGAGATCCAGGGGTGGGAGCACCGTGCGGCCTCTCGGTCGCAGGACCTGCGACTCTTGTTGGCTGATCAGGCGGTCGAGATCCGCGACCTGACCGGACGGCTGGATCGCGCCTCCCGTCAGCGAGATGTTATGCGAGATAACAACGACCATCTCCATAGGGAGATGGCGCTCGCCGGCTCTGAGATCCACCAGCTCCAATCCCGGATCCACGACCTCGAGCGGGATCTGGAGGATTGTCATACTGCTGGGGCAGCCGCGGATGCGAGCTGGACCGGCTCCGTGACGAGCTGCGTCTGACTAAAGCGGAGGTGGTGACCAACGACTATGTGGGATCCACTCATGGCGGATCCGCCTTAGGGTCGGCGCGTGGAGGGTCCCCCGCGCCAAATCCACCTCCCTCATCGCCGGATGTAGCCCTGGCTCAACTCTCTGAAGAGTTGCAAGACACCAAGGAGTCGCTCGAGAAAGCGTCTGCCGGACGGGATTACGCGCTCGAAGAATTCGTGCGCATGACTCAATTGCGCGACGAGATCCAAGCGAAGCTGGCGGACAGCGAACTCCAGCGGGACAAGGCGGCTACCGAGTGGGCGGCTGCCAAGCGTGCACAAACAGAGCTGGAATCCAAGCTTCGCCGCACGAGTACGTGGATCCTCTTTTAGCCCTTGCTAGTAACCCCATATTCACTCGTTATTGTCCAGCCAGGTGACAAATTGAAAGAAGCCGATGCGACCGCCGCGAAACTCCGGGATCAACTCGCTGCAGCCCAAACTCAGTAGCAACAGCTGGTCCTGGAGCGCGATCGTGGCTTATCGGAGCGGGATTTGGCTCGTCGACGACTGGCGCTGGTGACAGCTGCCGTGTCGGATCCCCTTCCTCCCTTGTCGGGACCTTCTCGTGCTGCCAGCGTCTACGCTCCTCTCCCGTCTGTAAGCGGGGCAGATCCATCAGTTGCGAAACGTCCGCGTAGTGCGTCTCCCGCTCCTAGCACCGGATCCCCCCGTCCCCATAAGCATGCTCGAGCTTCCCCGAAAGCCAAACCCAAAACGACTCCGGTCTCTAAAACGGCTTCGCAAGCGGGATCCACCTCTGCGTCCAAGGCGGGATCCACATCCGCGTCCAAGACTTCCGCTTCCCCCTCGAAGTCGGGTGCAGAATCCAAGTCTGGATCCACCGCTAGATCGAAATCTACCTCGGTGTCCAAGACTGGATCTGCCACTACGTCCAAGTCTGGATCCGTTGCTACGTCCAAAGCGGGAGTGGGATCCAGGGCTGGATCCACTGCCAAGGCGGGATCTACGGCCGTATCCAAACCGGGATCGGCGTCCAAGACGGGATCCACCGCTGGTCCTTCGGTGACGACGTCCGCCGTTCCCCAGCCCGCTTCCATCAGCCCTTCGCCGGCCCGTACTGGACCCGGGAAGGGGAAGGCCAAACGTGTCATTCCCCCTGGATGTGGACT